AGGAGATGGAGGAAACAGAATAAGAGCCAGCTTCCTTGTAATGGTTACCCTTTTCACAAAAATTAAAGATCTTGGAAATATCTCAGACACTCAGATTTACAAATGGAGTGTAAAAATAACAAAGACACAGTTAATTGTCCCCCATGCTCTCTATAAACCAAATGACTACAAAGGCAGGGACCAAGGAAAGTCCATCTCACGTTCAACAAGGTCCTCCTGAACTTGCACACCGTTCCAAGAGGCTGTCAGAGTTGTTGTTTTCTTAGAACCATAGGATTGCTAAGGTTGGAAAAGACCTCTAAGATGCTTGAGTCCAACTGCTAATGTAATATGTCCACAGTTCCCACTGGGCAGCTGTGTCCTGTTGTCCTACCACTTGTTACCCGGGACAATGAGTGGTGATACTGTCTTGAAGAAATTCATAGAATAACAGGCTCTTCTGAAACTTCTTTCTTTCTGAGGAATTGCTAACTCCTTTGGTATTCCTTTGAGAAAGCTTATATTTCTTATCCATTGTCAGATTGCTTTGTCAGTAATAAGCATAAATACAACCAAAGGTCTCATGGAGATCTAGGGAACACCATGTTTATGACTTTATTTTCCGATACTTTCTCCTCTTTTTGGTTTTTGGGGTTTTTTTGTTTGGTTTTTTTTGTGTGTGTTTTATTGTTGTTGTTGCTTTGGAAGTGTTTTTGTTAGTTTTTGTTTTGTTTTTTTTAATTGAGATTTGATATGTAGTTGTTATATGAATGCTTATTCTTTTCTTAAGATGATAATTTTTAAAAACTCTATAAAGAAATAAAAATATTTATAAGCATATATAGCCAGGATAAAAAGCCCTCCTCATGTAAGACATATTTCAAAAATGTTTGGTACCCAGAAACAGGAATTCCCATTTTAAACATGTTTTACATTATTCAAGATGATGAAGAAATGATGCTTGCACCAGGTTCATGAAAAATTCCTTCCTCCCTTCCTCCCTCCCTCCCTCCCTCCCTTTCCACTATTTCAGTCTTCACCTCTTTGTCTAAAATGCTGTACTGTGTTACTAATGGAAAGTAACTATGTTACTAATAGTTAAGGATACTGAAGCAAATGCTCAGGTTTTTTTACCAACTGGGGATGAAAATAGATTTGAACAATCTCCATAAATGCTGTTATTCCCTATTTGAACCTTGCTGTCATCTGAATTTGAATCTTCGAAGCTGAATATCACTAAATTAATTATGGGTAGCATTTTTATGGCTAATAAGTACCTAATGAATTTAAATATGTTAAAGATTTTTCATCTATAATATAATTTGTAATGCTTTATTTAAACTTCTATTCTTATCTTTATTTGTCTGTACCCTAAGAATTCTTTATAGACACTCATGTTTCTGAATGAGACTTGTTCATATGCATTTTTATCCACTAAATGTTAGAGCTGAACAAAACAATTAAAGTTCATAAATATTAAACATGTCCATAAATATAAATTATGGCTGGATGGCCAGATCCTGAGAGTTGTGGTGAAGGGTGCTGTATCCACTTGTTGGCCATCACTGGTGGAGTTCCCCATGGTTCGCTACTGGAACCAGTTCTGCTAATATTTTTATTGATGGTTTAGAAGAGGGCAATGAGAGCACCCTCAGTAGTTTTGCAGAAGACAGTGAGCTGGGCAGGGATGTTGGTCTGCTTGATGGTACAGCTGAAAGGTTCTGCAGAGTTTGGGACAGGCTGGATCCATGGGCTGTGGAAAGTTGCATGAGGTTAAAAAAGGTGAAGTGATGGGTCCTGCACTTTGGTCACCACAGCCCTGTGCTACAGGGTGGGGAAAGAGTGGCTCAAGCACAGCCCAGCAGGAAAGGATCTTGGGGTTCCAGTCAACAGCCCAGGTGACCAAGAAAGCAAGTGGTATTCTGGCCTGTATCGACAGTAGTGTGGCCAGCAATGATTGTTCCCCTGTACTCAGAAAAGGTGAGGCCACACCTCAAATCCTCCATCCAGTTTTGAGCCCCTCACTGCAAGAAAGACATTAAGGGGCTGGAGCATGTCCAGGAAAGGGTTATGGAGCTGGTGAAAGGTCTAGAGAGTGAATCATATGAGGAATCACAGAGTGAACTGGGATTGTTTAATCTAAAGGAGAGGAGGCTCAGGGGAGATCTTACTCTCTAAAACTATCCTACAGTAGGTTGTGGCCAGGTGGGGTTGGCTTTTCCTCCCAGGCCATTTAGCAACAGGACAAGAGGAAATGGCCTCAAGCTGCATCAGGGGAAGTTCAGGTTGGACATCAGGAATAATTTCTTCATTGAAAGAGTAGTTAAGCATTGGAATGGACTGCCCAGGAAGTAGAGTCACCATCCTTGGAAGCATTCAAGAAACAACTGGATGCGGCACATAATGAAATGTTTTAGTTGATGTGATTCTCCTTGTCAAAATGTTGGACTCCATGATCTTGGAGATCTTTTCCAACCCAAATGATACTACGATTCTATGATTCTAAATCACGTAAATCTTCACTGAGGCCCAACTACATAATTCCAGTTTCCCTGACCTATGCTGAAATTTTGTTGGGCAACTACTAGAAACATTGTAATTGATGTTTTCAGGCAGGGAAAAAAAAAAAAAAGAATACATGAAGGAAGTGTTCTCTTGATAGGAACAATATTTCAGCTATTTTTGAAACTTTAAATGTAGAATTTTTGACAGAAACTACTTATTATTTACTATTATACCAGATGTGTGTAGCATATACATAATTTCTGAGAGCTGTACTTGAATATTCTTGAATTAATTCTTAGTACAGCTTATCCAGCTATATTCACTGTCCATATATGATAAATAACAAGCAACCCTGTGACGTGACATTCTTCTCTTCGTCTCAGGGAGGTGTCTAGGATTGACCCCATCCTCTACCACCATCACCCATCCCCTTCCCACTCCTCAGGTGTGGCACTGGATGTGGTTCTGACCAGCAGTGAATGCAGCCTGCACCCCAGTGGGGTGGAGTGGTCAAAAGTGGCAGTGCTGGTGTGGGAAGCAGCTGCAGGGAACAAAACAGCGGAGAAACCAAGCTGAGAGGAGCTGAGCCCAGCGAAACAGAGGGGCTGTGTGACATGAGCAATTCAGCTTTCAGAGCTTTGTCCATCATTTTCCATTGTCTTGGACTTAGGGATGGTGGGAAGCTCCCACCAACCTGTCTTTGTGTGGGAAAAGGCACATGGTGCTGGGAGCAGGAACAGCTGACATCTGATCTTTGTGTGGGGAAAGCCACACAGTGCAACCTACGGGGAGAATCATCTTGTCTTTGTCCTGGTGGCCATGCACTAGTCAAGGTGATGAATGCCTCCTGAGTGTAAAACATCTTTTATTTGTTATTAATATTGCTGCTATTACTGTGTTTTTCTTATTCCACTGTTGCTTGATTTCACTAAATTGTCATCTCAACCCATATTCTCTGCCCTTGTTCCTCTCGTGACAAAGGGTGAGGTGGGAAGAGGAGTGGTTTATTTGTAGGTGCAACTTCTGACTGGTAGCAAACCACCACACTACTTTAAAGCAGATTAGAACATGGTCCTACCTACCTCTGGATTAAATAAAAATCCATGTAAAAAATGCCATGAATACAAGTTAAGATGGTAAACATAAGGCATGTCTGAGTAGCTAAATGCAGCATTTATCTATACTTGCTGGAAATTGCAACATGAGATAACCAAGGTTTTCTTTATATAAACAGAGGAGATTAATTATGGCATTTTAAATAGCATTATGGAATAATTGACAAAACTTCATTTTCATAGCTACTGTTACACACTTATCAGAAAATAATAATCCAAATATAACTAAAAATTCTCCTTAAGGAGCTTAATTTATAGGTTTTAGTGTTTTTTTTTAAAGAGAGGTGTTATCATTAGAAAAACCATGCTGAATATACTATTCAACAAACAATGTCTTTTGAAATGTCTCACAGGTAAAGAGCTCATAGAATAATGTTTTTATAAACACAGTATTTAGTAAAAATCTCCTTCAGCATACACAAACTAGACAGCAATCTGTTCTCCCCTCGCTCTATGCAAGAAAAAAAAAAAAACCAAAATGAAACAACCAAAACAAAGCCCAATTTAAAAAAAAGGAAAATAAAGAAAAAAATAAAAAAAAAAATTAAAAAGTGACAGACAGTAAACCTTTCCAGTTGCTGATAAAACAATTTCCAGTTTTTCTTTCATCATTGTACTACCTGCATCATGCATTCCTTTTCTAGCCACTCACTTGTTTCACACTTTGCTTTTGACTCTTTCTATTGTGTATTAGTAGCACGACCACTTTTATAGTTATCCAGATAGAGAAGAACACTGTAAAAGGCAGAAAAATATCTTGGTATGAACCATATTAAAGATGCAGAAAGAAGCCAAAAACCTGTTGCAGAAATCAGAAGTAGAATCCAGTCCAGTTTCTGATGAGAAATCTTGATGAATCAGAAGGTTAAATAATTTTGGAAGACATCTGGCACACAGCCTCTATTATCAGGTTAAGCCAGATGTAATTCTAGAGAGTGTATGTAGAAATGCTGAAATTTCACCTGTTTTCCTTGATGCAGCTACTTTGCACAAAATAGCAATTTTTTTTCAGAAAAAAAAGTTAATTAAATCACTTGATTAAATCTACATAATATTAAATCTGAATGCAAAAAAATTAATTTTTTTTACTCCGGGATAGTGATTACATGAGTGAAACTAGAATCAAGAGAAAGGAACAGATGACTTTTTCATCCAGTCCCAACTACCTTATAAATTTTAGATTTTATTATAAATGACTGATATTATACAAAAGAAAAGTTAATATGTTCAAGACATTCAATAACAATTTCTAGTCAGGCATAAAAACCTTCAGGGAAAGGAATGCCAGGAGAAGAAAAAGGAACACGATCTGAAAAAATTTATTTTGGCACAAAAATCTCACTGTTAAGAGCCTTGTTTCATATTTGGTCAATTAAAATGCAGTATATTAAAATATAGTACCTTATAACACATGCATAGAGCCCGCTGTCTTGTACCACTGTTGGTCTGAACCAAATGGAGTCTTCTTCTTTGCTCATTCTGGTTCCATCAAAAGCTATAGGCTCCTCAAAATCTCCAGGTCCAGAGCTTTTGTACCACATCAAACTAAGTCCAGCACTTTGGGCTAGGGAGTAATTAGCTCTAATATATCCATAAAAGAGTGCACATTTTATACGAACAGGTTCTCCCACTAGAACTTGATATTTCTTGTAATCCACAGACCAGTCAGTGCATCCATCAGCTACAAGAGAAGAGAAAATGACAAGAGATTGTCAAAAGTTTTGGAAAGCACTATTCACACAGCAGTCTTTATTGTGGGAAAGTATTGCATTTGAAATAAAAGTCCATTGAGGGACTACCAGCATGCTTTTTATCCCTGAAAAATTAATTGCATATTCATAATGTTAATGTCATGTACTTGTCTATAGTGGACAGAGCTATTAAGACATATATTACTAAATGTTGATAATCTCTGATCAATAACTGACCAATTGTTCTTTTAGCTTTTGTGGAACTCCAGCATGACCACTTATAAAATACTGAAGTGAAATTAGTGCAACACAGAGGGCATGTGGTTCACAGGATGTCACCATCTAAATTGCATCAATCAAATATTTTCAGGGTTACCATGTAACTGAAAGTCTCAGAAGATATTAGCATGAGGAATTGTGCTCTGAATCAAAAAGTGTGAAAGTTTGGGATAGATTTGAAGGAGGAGAAGAAACTGTCTTTACAGTAAGTCCAGATGTGCAAAAGAGGTACTTCCAGGAAGATCACTTTTGGTAATATAAATGGATTATTCAAGACCATGTTAAACAGGTCTTAGTCAGAATTCCTAAGTTTCCAGAACTACATTATAAATTATGGGTTTTAATGCTTTTATTTTTTTTCCAGTTGAATGACATCAGCCCTTACCAATATTGTCCCACAATAACTGCTTGTCAGAAAGAAAAACTGAATATTTTTGACATTTTGAACCCCAGTAACATAACTAAACCCCAAGGCCAAAAAAACACCAAACTCACACTCTCGTCCCCTGTATTTTTACTTAATTTTTACTTAAGAATATCAAAACAAAAGGAAAAGAGCTATTTTCTACAATGCCTTCTTTAACAATAGCTTGTATTTTTTTCTTAAACAATTTCAACCATGAAAATTCACCATTAGGTTCATACACTGAATGTCCAGTCTCAGCTAGCTAATTAGGCCCCAATCCAGTCAGTAGAAAGCAATCCAAAGGACAATTTATTGAAATTTAAAATCATTATCTATGTCTCATATAAATATTTTGTCTTTGAATTTGACACTTTATTAACTTTAAAAGAGCTCAGATAGACAGATAGATATCCATCTTAGAAAATCAACTTTTGCAAAGCTCAATTTTCCTCCTAGAACTGGTTGAATACTGACTTTAACAGAGAACTCCAGCTAATGTGCAAGGCAAAGCAGTATTTGCAGTTTAAACTTAGACAATATTTTGATCTATATTGATAATATATTTTGGGAGGAAAACATATTAGATAGTGAATTTTTGAGTCCTATATTTGGATAATGCCACAGTACTTATTATACATTGCAAAATAAGAAAGACAGACGTTTTCACACATCCCTGCGTAAGCAATAACCTAAGTTGATCCAATATAGAAAGATGGAGCAAAAACACACAAACAACTTTAGAGTGAATTTGCATTGTGAACAGAATTCACACAAATATTTCATATATCTTTGGAGTGCCTTCTCCTGTGTTTACTTTTACCACCAGGAAGGGAAAATAATATGCCCTTGTTCCAATTTTCCTACACAACAGTTTCTAAAAATTAATAACTGTTGTTACAAGGCCCTAAGAAGACTTACTTGTACTCATGCATAAATTGAAGTGAATGGAAAGAAAGCTACAGTATTAGCTTCCCCTTAGGACCAAAGAAACTAACTTTCATTTATTCCAGAATTAAATTACATCTTTTATCATTTCATTTTTACCTCTCTGAAAGAGCATTCTCTCTCACCTGATTTTATTTCCGTCTGCTTCTAAATCCCAATGCCAAAAATGAATTAACAGCCACCTCTAAGCAGTGTTAATTTCATTATATAAGTTACCAGGTAATAACTTCTTCATCATACTTTATCATGAGATTGCAGTCTTGCTTTTCACTGCTTCATTTAGTAGACCTTGGTTTACATTTTTAGTCTGTAAATTCAGACATCCTTCTCTCTCAGGATATTCAGTTCTAATGGTTCTCAATTCCTTTAACTTGCAGAATCCATGAGAATATATTGCTGAATAACACCAACTCTGCTTCAAGCCCTTTGTATTGGATGAATGATAAACTATGCAGGTTAGATGCCACTGACTTTATTTCAGTGTGATATTTCTCATACGGGGCCTGGGGGTCCTGGTGGATGGAAAGCTGAATCTGAGCCAGCAGTGCCCTGGCAGCCAGGAGGGCCAAGCGTGTCCTGGGGACATCAGGCCCAGCATGGCCAGCCGGGCAAGGAGGGGATTGTCCCGCTCTGCTCTGGGCTGGGGCGGCCTCACCTCCAGTGCTGGGGGCACTTCTGGGTGCCACAGTACGAAAAAGACATGAAGTTATTAAAGAACATCCAGAGGAGGGCAACAAGGACTGGAGAGGAAGCTCTATGATGTCACTTGTCTTGCTGGACCTGGAGAAAAGAAGACCAAGAGGGGACCTCATTGGAGTCTTCAATAACCCCATGAGGGGAAGCTTAAGGCCAAGTCCCAATTTCTTCATTCTCATGACAGGTGACAGGACTTGAGGAAATGGCATGAAGCTGAGTCAGCAGAGGTTTGGGCTGGATATCACGGAACTGCTTTTCAGCCAGTGGTTGGGCACAGGAAAGTGGTCATAGTACCAAACCTGATAGAGTTCAAGAAGAGTTTGGATAATGCACTCAGGCACATGGTGTGACTCTTGGGGTGTCCTGTGCAGGGCCAGGAGTTGGACTCCACAATCTGATGGGTGCCTTCTAACTCAGCATATTCTATGATTCTAGAAAAGGCTGCTAAGGATCATCTGATTTATCTATGTATTCACTGAACTATTTGTTCATTTTTTGGCACAAACCACATCCAAATGACCCACCAGATATCATAGCAGAATATCTACTTGTCCTGGATTTAGATGGGGGAGAGTTCATTTCTTTTAAGCAGCTATTACAGTGCTGTGTTTTGGGTTCAGAACTAATGAGCCCACACCTGGAGTGCTGTATCCAGCTCTGGGCTCCTAAATATAAGTGATATGTACAGACTGTAGTGTCCAACAAAGGCCCACAAAGCTGATTAAGGGACTGGAGCATCTCTGCTATGAGCACAGGTTGAGAGCTGAGACTGTTCAGCCTGGAGAAGGCTTAGGGGGGATTTAGTAATGAATACAGATACCTGAAGGGAAGGTGCAAAGAGCCAGGCTCTTTCCACTGGTGTCCAGTAACAGGACACAAGGCAATGGGCACATATTGAAACATGACAGGCTCTTTCTGAACACCAGGAAACACTTTTTTTTTCTGTAAGGGATACTGAAAATTCACACAGAAGGTTGTGAGTTCTCCATTCTTAGAGATATTTAGAAGCCAGAGAGACATGGTGCTGAAAAACCATTTCTACGTGGACCATGTGACCTACAAAGGTCTCTTTCAACATCAACCATTCTGTAATTCTGTGTTTTATTACAGTTACACTCAGTGATAACTTTAAGGAAACATATGTCCTCTTCTCAAAGCGGTCTTTGAATGAAATGAATGTGAGAGTGCTTCCCTTCCTCCTTTCAGAAATACTACACCAGTTAAACCACCAACACTGCCATTCAAGTCACTTAGAACTGTATTAAACTTATTACAGCTGGAAGGCTTAATACCTTAAAAATCTTCCAGGAAAATCCTCACACTACTGCTCAGCCAATGTGCTAATCTATGAGAAGGTGCTAATTCAGTTTTGTCAGATATAATAGAAGTTCATCATTCCCATCATAAGACACAGATATCATTCTGTGCTATTTTCTCATAGCTGATATTTCAGGAGATAACTGTCGATCTCTGCATAAAACACCCTATTCCACAGTAACTGAGGAACATAAACAGAGGCTTAAAACCACATAATGAAAAGAAAAACAGACTGTCACATTCTTAAAAATATTACTGTGAACACTTAGATGATGATAGCATGCATGCACCATAACCAGCAGTTTCTACCAACACTCTGCATGTGATGTGTAGAGCACATGTGCATTTTTCAGTCTAGAAAAACTAGGATATATCAAAAACTAATTAAAAGCCCGATTTCCAAATTCCTTGAAGAACATAAAGATACATTTTAAAAGATGTAAACATATATTCAGAGAATTATTTTGATTTTTATACTGACATCGCTACCTTAAAAATGCTACATATTTACATGTTAAACGTGCTACTGGCTTTGTAAATAGGGACAGAAAACAACAAAGGTTTAATTCAGATATTTTAATATTTAATAGATTGAATATTTCTATTCAGTTTTATACTGTAACTATGTCTATTTCTACCTTGATTGGATTTTATTTTTTCCTTTGTGCAAAAGTAGGGCATTGACCAAATAAATTATCTAATGTTTCCTCTCTTAATTGTGGTTGCTACTGACACAAAATCAACACCTTCAATTACGGTGGTTCAAAACAACTGTGGGGGAAAAAATACATTCAATAATTTTCAATGTTTTTATTTATGTCATCTCATCATCAAACAGTCAATCATCTTTTATAAATTGAAAAATACTTGAATAATTCAACAGCTTTGAAATTTCAGAACTGCCTTCAAAAGAATGGTTGTAATCCCTGATCTCTATTTTAATATGCTGCCAGTTATTGCTACACATAATAGCACAATACAGAGTCCAGGATAAATATAATCCACCCAGTTATTTCCTTGAGTGATTTCAGGGTATGAAATAAACCACACTACATCACTGTCCTAATAATGAGATCATTCTGCTCAATACACAAGTGTCTTGCAGGCTGTATCTGCTGGATAGGACCCAACTCACAGAATATTTAACATTACTAAGAAGGCCTTCCCCTTAATTTTTGGTACCATGTGTATCATTTTCAAGGTAAAATTCAAGGTAATATTCAAGAAAAATATAAAGCTAATAACTCGTGGGTCTGCTACTACAGCCTGGTCTAATTCAAAAGCTTCAATTCAATATATAGGTTTCAGGGTGAGAAAAAGTCTTCACATTTTCGATATATTGGTTAA